ACACACACACACACACACACACACACACACACACACACACACACACACACACACACACACACACACACACACACACACACACACACACACAGGATCGCTTGTCCAATCATTAATGGGCTTGTGCAGCCAGATTGACAACACTAATGGAATTTATATCCCTGGTTGCTTGACACCCAAATTCGACCATGAATGAGTGAGTAATATAGGGGAGAAGAGAATTGGAGGCACCAACTGCATCATTAGAGTGAAATTAAAGTCCTGTGCCTCAAGCCTATGCTGGAAAACTGTGTCATAAGTTCCTTTTAAAGAGTATTTTCTGGTGCTTGTGTGTTGCAGTATTACTAATAATAACCTCAGATTATATACAATATCTGTGGATGTATCTCTGAGTATGCACGTAGCTTAACCAGGGTGGGCAGCAGAAGTTCCAGTCTGTCAGAGTGCTCTGTGTGTGTATACATGCGTGAGAGATTATAAGGAACACTGTGTGCCATCTTGCAGGTAAAGTGGCTGTCGCTGCAACTGTGCCTGTCCATCACACTCTTTCCAGAGCGCTGCGTGCTTGTATTTTCTCTGTGCACGTGTACCTTGTGGACACAGCTGTGTGCCGGTTTCTTGCTCACTGCCAACTGAGGCTACGTCATGTGAGTCACAAGCAACACATTTCCTCGAGCTAAAATCAGCCATATTTGGGTCTGTGTGTGTGTTCTCTGTGTATCACCTCATTGTTGGGGTCCTGGATGACTCTGTAGAGAGCTGGCACCAGGGACTTCTTTAAGTGAAGGCTGCCGGCGTAGCTGGGGATGTGGGTTTCTGGTAAGGACTGAAAGGAGAAGAAAAGGTTTGCTGAGAATGATGATACATAAGGTCGATGCATAATTTCCCCTTGTAATATTAATTTTTTTTTTAAAAACTAACCACAAATGAAGAAAAAGGTAAAAACACTGATAGCGACATACTTTCAGTTCAGACCCAGAGAAGTTTAAATGCAGGGGGATTTTTTTAGAAATTAAAAACATCACCAGGTTTCACTTCAACTTATAACAAATCTGCAATGATTGTTTCTGTAGATTGAAACAAAACTTCACCAGTGAAGCAGAAAATATCTGTGAGAGTTTGCAGGGCATTTAAGCAGTGTCAACAATCCAGAGGAGATAAATAGACATTTGTCATCTGCTTTTACTTTGACTCTCAAACTACTGTTTAAAAAGGCTTCTTCAGAGTGAAAAGCATTCTAGGGAAGGTGGGGGGGAAAGTCAATAAGGCAGACTATGTGAAAGTGGATACGCTCATTAAAAAGCATTGCAAAATAACTTTTAGAAGCCACAGAGTATCACACAGTGATGATATCTGACTGTATCAAATATCCTGAGGTGAAATCCTAAAATGGTCACGGCTTTTGTATTTGTGTGCAGATGACAGAAGTCAGATACACTCGCAGCACAGCCTCAGCGTGGTCATTCTGTGAACAGAACACAATGTGCCATGAGTCATACCAATCTATTTCCCTCACTATTCATAATACTCACTTCTTTCTCTCTTTCAGTTTTGTTTTCTGCCACTGCCTCTAATGCACTATGCACCACCTGCATTTCCTCTACGTGGCTCAAGTTTCTTTTGCACTCCCCTCATCTCCATCTCACACAGATGATTTTTAAATACTTGATGTTCTCTGGCAATTTCAGGACATCTCAGACTCATCATGCACTTTAGCTGTACTGTATTTCACCATGAGTAAAATGTATTAAAAAATATAATGCACCAGAACTATGAACAGACAAGCTAGTGTTTCTCTGAAGAGGAACTATTAATATGTGTAATTTTAACGTGTATCCTTCCATCAACCTACACTCAAGTACTTAACATGATTGTGCGTTTCACATGTCTTTGTACAGAGCTCAGGTAACTCACTTAAGGCTTTGAATTACTAAGATGGACTCTGTCAGTAGTGTTAATATAACCAATAACAGTTACCTGAGATGAAATCTATATTTGATTTATTAATTGATAAATCAGCCTTGTAAAATCCACACAGATTTATTTTTTGCATTTAGCAACTGTAGTTGGGTTAAAGTAAATAACAGCAGGAAACCAGTAATCGTTTCTCCATGTTTAAGTTTCTGTTATGAATAAATGAAACAGAATCAACATTTCTGCTTTCTGTCAGTTTCCTTCGTGATTAGAACTTGACAGGAGTGCTATACACAGACCTTCATATTGGTTGTGTGCAACATACACAGTGTGCAAATACTACACTTGACATACCTGCAAGAAAAAAATACTTTTATTTTAAGCATGATGGAGACTTTGATTCAGAAAATAGTAAGATGGCATAAAATAAAGTACATCTACTTGTGAGACGACCAAAGACAAATAAATGCTTTAGCTTGACCTTGAACATTGACAAAGTACAAACAACTGATGAAAGCAGAGCTGACCAATAGTCGTAACTGTCCTGAAATGGCCACAGTTCACACTTATACATTCACAAACTTTTTAATCATGATTTAGAAGAGGACTGAAATATTAAAGAGGACAGTAGTCATTAAGCAAGTGTTTTATCTGGTGAAAAAAAAAAAAACAACCTCCAGGAACACATTTCACTGACATGAGTCATGAAGGAGAACAGAGAAGAGCCTTTACCTTGAATTCTGAGAGCCATTCTTCGACAACACCGCGCTCTGAACCCAGCATCTTCCTCAGAGACCCCCACCGGCTGCCTGCACCGTGAACACAGAGATGGGAGATGGAGATATAGTGAATGAAAAGGAGAGCAGGGAACATAGAAACCTTGACAACAACATGTACAAGTCCATCATAAAATACATTTTTCTCAAAGATTTGTTTCTTTCATTAAAGTTCATTAAAGATAGTTCCAATAACTGATCTTTGTTCAAGTGCTCATTTTTCCTGTAAGTTTGGTTTTAATGAGTAATTTGATGCTATAAAAACATCATGGTGTGGGGTGATACATCATGATCGATAGCTGAGAATGACTCGTGAATGATCGAGCGCATATACATGTATATCGAAAGGGCCAATAGCCAGTTTTCATATTCATAATGTATCAAGAGAGATGAGATACAAGATAAGGCAGTCTTAAGTTTTTTTTTTAAACGTATTATGGTCTGGGGCTGCAAGCACACTGTTATCCTTGGCCCTGTTCTCTGTATCTAGCAGCTAAAATTAACTTCAGCAAACTGCCCAAAATAACAAGTTCTCCTCATCTACTGGAAAATATATTCTCATTAATTATCCCATAGAAGATTTGCCATGAACAAAGACATGCGCCTCAGCGTGAGAGAAAAGTGTGTTTGCACGTGTGTGTGTGTTTATGTTGGGGGGAGTAGTTGATTCTGCAAGAGACTCAGTGAGCCGTAGCCAGAATGGGACAAGCAACTCCTATTTAAAGGTACTGTAGATGTACGCTGCAACGCACCATAGCAGCTCATCCTGCATGTTTGACAATAAAATCCTTCACCAAACACTATCATGACTGAGCCTCCATTAATAACCTTAAGGGAAGCCAAGAGCAGAGGATAAAAGCAACAAACAGCTCTATGTAGGCCACAGAGCTGAGGAAAATCTGTTCTTATCTATCGCAACTCAATGAAAAGCTTAAAAAGTCAACATGAACAAAAAGTATTGAATGACAATGCAACCAACCCTGAGCTAGAATTTACAACCAGCTTTTTCAGAAAGCATGTACACACAGCTGGCCTATACACAGCTTCAGATAAATAGAAACCCTGACTCACACCTCAACGCACCATGTGGTGAATGAGTCATTGTCTCAGTTGAGTGTTTCGGACAGTAAAAGCAGACAATTAACAGAACATCTAACCTAAACATGTTCCATGCCTCATATAAGGACATGCTTGAAGGACATTGTACCATTGTAAAAACTCTTTTAAAGTGACATGAGTTTGCTGTGTTACTTCAGTCACCTGTGTTTAAATACAACAGCACCGGGGCCTGAAGGGAAAACTATGTATGATGTTTTGGTTTTGACTTGATGGGATTATGGATTTGGACTAACTCAATATATTCAAAGTGGAATCCCACTTAACATTTCAAGCTAAGGCCTCTGCAAAACTGACTGTAAGGAATTATCCTTCAGCCAGCACACAGAAAAACACAATTCTCTGTCATTTTTATAAAATCTGATGGATGTGACTGCAAAGATTGCTTGTCAGAAATTAAGGGACTAAAAAATAACCCATGGAATATAACAGTGTGCCAACAGAGTTAACTATGACAACACAGATTGTTAAATGATGAACGATGAGCTGTTTCATCACTATAAGCCTTCACACTGTAATGCAGTCATCATGTGTTATGTCAAAATCTATGATCTGACCAATCCACTCCTTGCTCTTAGTTGCTCTCCTCTCTTTGGCGCAAATATGTGCTCCCACAGCTCGCACCATGTGACAGAAGATTGTTGTACATGACTGCTGTTGTATCTGGGTCAGTGTCCTTGCTTAACTTTTTTGACATGTGCAAGTTAACAGAAGTGAACCCTGACCATGAAGATCACACAGACAGCTATTTAAGGAGTGAAGAAGTAAAGGCACATTAAACTCTCAAGAGTATAAAGCTGTGTGGAAATATGCACACTCTAGACTTAGTCAGATTTAGCAATCGCTGCTTATGAAGCATTCACACACTGTTCCATTTTGAAAGCACCAAACAATGTTTTAACTCTGTACATGTGTACAGTGCTAAAGGTCTCTCCCACAGTACAGCATAGTGTTGATACACCCCTACGTAATCATCCTTACACACCCAAAACATCAATAGCGAAGAAATCTGCACAAGCACTAAGGCCTTACAGGTTCTACGTATTTTGATCAGTTGTCATAAAATGTGACACTGGCATTTTAAAAACCAGAATTACCTTTGTGCTGTTTTCTGTCTCCACAAAACAGTCAAGTTCCAGTTTACATCAATTTCCATCCAGACTCATAATATAATACATGACTGCATAAATGATGATGAGCCTGAAAATTTTCAAAACTGACTTTGAGGAGCAAGATATCTGATTTGCTGTTGGGCACAAGAAGACAGAGATCACAGTCTCAGCTCCAAGGAAATGACAATTTGAACGAGTTAAATCTTTCTGTGTGAGCACACACTTTCAATCTGTGTGAATTGAAAGGCTCCACTTAGTAAGCTTGTTCAGCTCTTCGTGAAAGGCTGACTCATTCATTTCTCCTGGCTTGTCAAACTGTCAAAGACTTACTGAAGTGAAATTCACCATTGGCAGGGCAGGCTTATCAGTTACCATGGGAACGGTAGTCAAGCGACTTTCAGGCAATGGCAAATATTCACCACAAGACATGTCCTTTACAAATAAAATATTAAGATTATTTTGCTCTCAGAAAAAATGTTAAAATTTCTTGCTTTTGTCTATAGGTCTGTAGCACTATAATGCTTTAGGTGAGCACTCCTTGTGTATTGTTTTGTTGCTTTATTGGTTTAATTGCCTGAATTAAATATAAAACCTGAAAAATACCACCACACAGAAAACCCCCCAACCTGTGCTGGATAACAGAAACCTGCCAAGTGCAAAACTCAACTAAAAACTGTCACTGCAACATTAAATGGAAAACAATCTATCAATCAAATCACCAGGGGAAGGATTGTCAAAAGCTGTCAACAGGACACATTTCGATTCCATGTGCGGTTTCTGGAATCATAAGTCAGGTTGATAAGTAACAGATTGCCAGAGTAACATTTTACATAACTGGTAATGTCAAATTAATCCGATTATATAAACCAGGGGTCTTGCACGCTTTTTAAAATCAAATTGAATGCTTTTTAAGAACTTTTTTCAGACCTCAATAAATGTAATTTGAGACCCTAAAAATGTCAAAACAGTTTCTTTGATAATTTATTTAAACCTATTAATTATCTTAATAAGATATCAGAATAATGACATGTGACATATGTGAACTATGGTGGGAAGAACAATATGATAAGTTCTTATTTTACATTTCTTATTTTGACAGTGTCTCATAATTTTTAATATTTCAGCTGTACATGTCCCACTAAAATACAAAATATGAGGCAGTATGAAAGCACATTGTTCAACCCCTATACTTACCTCAGTGTCCCGGAACTCAGATCTCCACTGGGAGAGGAAAGTGGTTCTCTGCTTTGTCACACATTTGTCACTCACTGAGGGTCACCTGCAACAACAGGGAAACATGATCTATTAGTAAGATGATCATGGTTACAACTGCCATAAGAAATCAAACAAAGTTAAACTACGATCATATAACATGTGTAGCCCACGACGTTGCCAGGTTTGAGTGTAATTTTTGAGCAGGTAAACATATACGTATCCAGCATGGCAGTCAGACCCACTGCAGACAAAACTTACTCATCAACTGATTAATCCCTTAATTGTTGCAGGTCTAAAGTCAGGTGACTTTGAAAGGAATCACAGAAAAACTCGAGACAGCATTTCAAAGAATGTTTTTGAATATTATAAGGTTGAGAAAGGAAATTCTGCTGGCAAGCAAGCAACATACAGTACATGGTAAACAATCAGTCTAGACAATGAACAAAGCAGCTGATAACATGGAGACTGAAAAACCAACATGGTTGCTACAACAGCATGACCCCCACCCTAAAGAAGCAGTCTGAACATTAAAACATGATGTAGAGAAGGCCTTATAGCAGTCATGTAAAACATAAGCAAATAACATGTAGTTTTTGTTTCATAATGCATTTTCTTTTACAAAACACTTTTTGAAGGCTATTTTGAGTCATGGCAAAAGGAATACATTTTCAAGTTCCCCATTGTTGCATAGCAACAGTCAGCTGGCCAACTTGTTGTCGTTGTCTGCTAAAAATGCATCCTGAGGATCCACACCCATCATATTTGCTGTATCTGGCAGAATAAATCAAGGCTTCAGTGACACACAAGAAGTCACTGTGGAGAGGTCGCTCTGCACTGCTGCATGTCCCTGAGAAGCAGACGGTGCCACATCACTAAGCACGGCATTTGTTGTCAAGTATTTTCAACAGAGCCTTGTGTTTATCTGAAGGACCCTCACATTCATGCTTTATCACAAAGAGTCAAGGAAATGACCATGCAGAAATCCCATCAGTCTAGAATGATCTACATACTCTATATCAATTAAAAGCTGTTTATTTGACTTTGCCTGATAAAGCGCATTATGTGACTCATCAAATCCAGTAAACATAAAATAAAGATAACGTTTGAAAGGGAAATGTTTCAAATTCTTTGGAACATGATAGGACATTGAATCTCCATTAAATGGGATCAAACTCATTTTGGTATCCACTGCATCTCATTCAGTCTTCATGATAGATTTTTCAGTCAGTCTTACTCTAGTGGCGACATCATGAAATATACAGTGAGTCAATAAAAACAAGGATATTTTTTCACCAAGTTTTTATGTTGGCTCTCTGGGTATATTAGGCTTTTGTGGGCAATGTTGCAAGTAGTCGAATCTGGCTGTCTGATGGCAATATTGGATTTGTATATGTTTTTGCATCAGTGTAATGAAATACCATTGGGTTAGCAGAAAACCGATACAACATTTTGTTATTTTATTATTAGTAAATCCTTAATTGTTCCTTGATTGATTTCCCAGAAAATCCAGAAAAATCCAGATATGTTGTCACAACTGCATAGAAAATAATGTTAAATAAGCAAACACATTTATTACTACTTATTCATAACCCCCTCCCATACTTTTTCTAATACATGTATTCCATATTATTAATATATCATTCAGTCAGTAGTATCTGAAGCCATAAAGCATCTGCAGACTTCTCAGAGAATACCAGTCAAATAAAAGACACCAACATTATTCAAACTGCACTGGACTGCTCTTTGTATTGTGACAGTAGATTATTTGTGCTTCAAATTATATGGTACAAGACAAAATATCTGAACTGTAAGGGACAAAAGTTCATTTCCTTCGATTCAGCCATTCCAGTGTTGCTCTAAGAGCTTTTAACTTAACCTATAATCAAAGGGGTAGAGCTTCCCCATTACACAGATCCAACCCAGAAGCTGCAGTATTAATATAAAACTACAGTAAGAATAAGAAAAACAGCTGGTTAACAGGAATGAAAAATATGAAGTAAGAGGTCACAATCCATCATGATAACGACAATCCATAAAGTGTAATTCCTTAGCACTCTGCACCCATCTCTTCCCAGTGTTTGCGTGTAGTAACAACTGTACTCTCCAGCCAGCCGCCACTATTGGCTAAATATGTCATACACCTAATGAGACCTGGCAAATGACAGTAAGCAAACTTTCCTTCAAGAGTCGCTCTTCCTCAATGCACGATCTGCTCATTGTCCCGTGGCGGGCCTCACAAGGGACTAGGAGAGAGCCAACCCATCCTGTTTACGGCACTTCAAACCCCAAATCACAATGACATTGTTAGATATGCTGCTAAACGGCCCACAAGGTTGAAACAGAGACACTGAGTGTATATTGTGCAGTGAGTTTCAAGATATAGGATTTAACACATAATGTGTTTCTTTCTGAATTTGAAGTCAGGTAATGGCAAGGCTTCTACACTCAACAAAAACAAATGTTCATGAATATCTAAGCCAGTAATAAATGTTTATCATCACAATTTTACCTCAACTACACATCTCTAAAGTGCTGTATAACATAGTTAGAGAGTCTGTTTCTGTATAAGAAATATTGCTTTAATAATGATATCAATATACTGATGTTAAGCAGATATACTGTTTATGTTCATGTTCAGCATCTTAGTTTAGAATACTGGCATATTGACATTTGCTAATTAGCACTAAACAAAACTTACAGCTGAGCTTGATAAGACTGTCATTAGTTCGTTGTGAGCCAAAATACTGGCAGAGTGACATTTTTGCCTGATGATGGCTCTAAAAAAAAAAGTTTTGGGATGACAAACTGAGTCAGTCATTGAGCACAAATGAGTCAGGGAAAAGTCAAGATTGCAAAAGCCATCTGGATTCATCCTTTGGGCACCATGTATATGAAAAAAAATTCTGGGGAAAAAGTGACAGCCCTAACTCTAACTGAGGGACAGTCTCAGCTGATCATGTCCTTTGCCAACAGCTGCCAGGACATACAAAGCCAACAACAGCTGCAGCATGCTAATCACCATGCTGTGCAACCCCTCAAACAAACACTACAAGCATGCTAATCAAGTCGCATACTCGTATGCAAATCCTACATTGCTGTTCGGTGTACCGTGTGTTTACCTTACGGTCAGCATATACAACCTTCTTAAAGTAGACAATGGCTGTCAAGTACACTGATTACGCCTCTAAAAGAAAGTATTTCCTACAGGTGACACATTATTCACAATATGGTCAATGTAAAACCGACCGATGTATGCCAACAATATAACCCCTTAGTGGCTCTACTGGCTACTGAATGCAGGTATCCCCAAGCACCTCACAATGCTCATCATTCAGTACAGACAGAGGACTCACACATACAATCATCTGTGAGCAAGTGACTCATTAAATCAGTTTAAACAAACTCAAGGTTACAGAGAACCAAGTTACCACTCCTGCACCCAGCGCAGGGAAGGGGTGATAGACCTAAAGATTTTAATAGTTAATCTGTTCCTGTTATGAGCTACATTAGAAACCATCCTGTGTTAGCAAAGATAAATTAATCACTCAACACTGAGGTTGCTTTTGTAGGGGGGTACAATTTCACATTATCCCATGCCAGTTTTGTCCACTTTGTTCTGGCTACTGAATATAATTGCTTCAGAGTTGCAGTTACGGACAACCTTAAACATTGCTGAGCAATGCTGTTGTTACTGCGTGATCAAAACGAAATAAACAATCATTTCTCTACCACATGAACTACACGGGTATCTGAACTGCGTTTAGGGTTTAGGGTTCACATCATCCATCAAGAGGAGTGAGAAGATTCTCACAAAAAATGTGTTACTTGAAGACTTGAGGGATACTTAGCATTTGTTTTAGGTTTGTTATTGCTTAAAATCTAATTCTGAAAACTCTTTTTACAATGAAGGGCATCTAGTGATATCTAAGCTTGGTTAGTTTTAGCAGGGCCAGATTATGTGGTGTCACTTTGTATGCCTCTGGCGCTGTAATTCAGTCAGGAACACCTAAAGGGATTTCTTCAAATGTGTCACAAACATTCACTTGGAAAAACTGATTTTAAATAGGAGGTATGGGTAATTAAGCCTGTCAAGATAGAGGTACTACCTGGGATATTAGAGCTCGCATCAACATTGTCATCCCGGTTTTTACAAAAGATTTTCACAAATTGGCCATCCAAAGCAGGATGTGCGCAGCACTTGTTCCACCTTCTCTGTGTATTTCACTTCTAGCAAGTCATCACTCAAAGCTTTCTTTATCTCTGTAGTGAGTGTGTTCTCTGCAGCTTGATCAGTGATAATTTCACTGCCTATAAACTCTACTACTATGAGCGAGGAAAGTGGGACCTGTTTCTCAGAGGCGAGGGCATCAGTGAGGTCATAGTGGTTCAAGGAGCTTGTCAACATTCAACAGACTGGCACAGTCCCTGTCTTTTGGCATAAGGCGCCATGAACACCTGATAGTACTGCAAAGATCTGTTGCTGATGGGGAGATTCTCAAAAGTTAAATATCATGGAAGTCAAAGAAGAAAACACAACTATTGTGATGAAATTCAAAACTATGCTCTTTGCGATAGTGACAAATGCCAAAATGAGCAGATGATTTGCATCAAGGAATGAAAAAAACATAACAAAAGACAGAGTTCAAATGGCTGTGTGTGTGTTTGTGTCTGTCCTAAATGAGCAGGGCCTGGTTTCAACGATCCAACACCGGAGATTTTTCAAGGTCAGCTTAACTTAGTTAGCCATGAATTATTGAACTTGAGTAAGGTTTGTCCCTGTTCTGTTTGCACCACTACTTTTCCTTTAAGTTTGGCCAATGTGACCATGAAAAAGTAAATATCGAACAATGACAGGGTGACACTTTGGTGTTTTTTGGTTTCCTTTGCTTTTAACTTCCTCAAAAAGAAGCTCAGGGCACTAGGTCACAGGGATTCAATGCAAATATTGTGTAGTTTAAATATGTTGTACTTTTCACTTAAGTTAAGACTATATGACTGGGCAAAGTAAGGTTTATAACAATATGGGGCAGGTTCACGACCACTGTCTTTCCAAAAAGATATGGA